CATCAGCAAGTGGCAATTTATCTCTTGCACTGGGAACCTAGGCCCCGATCTCCCCTGTGGCCTCAGCTGCCCTTTACACCCCTGGAGGTCTTAGTTACAGTACCGTCCCAGAACTGAGAGATGGAAATGGGTAGAGGAGAGTGTGTGGCATCTATTGGCCGAGGGGGGCCAGTGTTCCAAAAAACCCCTGGGGAAGAGCCCACAGGAATGAGCAACAAAGGCAAAGCATCCAGGTGACGCTTGCAATCAGTCTCCCAGGGCAACTTCCCACATGGCCTCAGCCCCTGCCTCTTTCTGAGAGAGGAGCATCTCACCAATCCCTGGCCACCCTCTGCGGCATACTCTTCTCCCTTGGGAAAATGTCCTGAGGTCTTAGGTACACTTTCGAGGCTGAGTAGATAATGACAGTATACCTTGCTTAGCCCAGACGTCTCATTACCAGGAAGATATAAACAAACAAACAGGAAAGAGTTTGGAGTACAGCAATAAAAGTGATGAAGGGGCTGGCTCTGTTTACTCAAGGAAAGATTAAAAGCAGCAAATCTTGTAGGAAGCCGGGCCGTGATTGTTGGTGGAGATGAGTGATTACTGTTTCACAAGCCAGGGAGGTGAGTAAGTAGGGTTGCGGTGGGAAGAGGGAGCCAGGAACTCTCCGGGAAACTTTGGAGTAAATGGGGCCACAGCCACACAAACACTTGTGCTCAAATGTTCATATTTCTTTGTCACAGCCGCAGAGGGAATCAGTCCAAATATCCACCCATAGGCGAAGGGTGAACAGACTGTGGTACAGCTAGATAGTAGACAGGCAGGCGAAGGAGTGAGTGACTTACACACACAACACGCTTGACTCTCAAAATAGTGATGCAGGCGAAGGGGAAGGGTATAGCTCCGTGGTAGTTCTACAGACATAAAAATAAATAAATGAAATGATGCTGCCAAGCATGGTGACATATAGTTGTAATCCCAGCACTCCAAGAGGCCGAGACAGGAGGATAGGAAGTTCACGCCCAGCGTGGGTAACTTAGTGATTTAGCAAGACCCTGTCCCCCACCAAAAAAGTAAGTAAATAAATAAAATAAAAGGCCTGGGGGGGGGCTGGGGATTTAGCTCAGCGGCAAAGCGCCTGCCTGGCAAGCGCAAGGTCGTGAGTTCGGTTCCCGGTACCGGAAAAAAACAAACAAACAAACAAAAAAAAAAGGCCTGGGGATGTAGCCGAGTGCAAATGTCCTGGGCTCAACCCCTTTCATATCGCCAGAGAAAGAAAAGGGGCGGGGAGTAAGGGAGAGAGGTTAGATCAAAACGAGCACACATGGAATGATTCCCAGGAACTCCAGAAAAGGCAAAGTGATCTTTAACAACTGTTACTTTGGGGACTCAAGGCCAAAGGGAAGACCAAGCACCGATGGATATGAGGAGCTTTGGGGTGACGGTCTGTCCAGTACCCTGACTATCGCGAAGGTCTGCCTGTGTCCATGTGTCTCATAAGTCATCGAATTGTACACTCTGTCCCCCTTGTGCTGGAGTTGCCGCTCAGGGCCTCACACGTACTGAGCAAATGCTCCACCACTGCGCTACACCCCAACCTCAAATTACATACACAGTTTATTATACATCAAGTGTACCTCAATGAAGTTGTAAAAATAATTTTTAAAACTTTCATCATTGAGGAGAATGAGCTTGGTGGAGCGAGCTCCCCAAAAAGGGAAACGAGGTAAACGATTAGCTCGGAGGAGCTGACCCACCATCTTGTCCTCAGGGATCTTTTCTAGGAAGTATCTCCATAAAAGATCCTCCTAGGTTCTAGTTATGAGAAAATGAACACCAGAAGAAAAATTGCTGAGGTAGTAGGCTAAATTTACTATTTGGGTGCAAAATCTTGTTAACACCCAAAGGCTTCTGGGTAAAATGTTGAAATCTTATTTATTTGACATGATTCTTTTAGACTTGGCCTCATTTCCCTTTAGGACACAGGGATCTCAGTTTGCCCCATATCTTCCCCTCTTAAAATGAGCTAATCGCCGGGTGTGGCGCCGCATACCTGCAATCCCAGCACTCAGGAGGCTGAGGCAGGCGGATCATTGTGAGTTCGAGACCAGCCTGGGCTACAAAGTGAGCTCAAGTTCAGCCTGAGCTGCATAGTGAGACCCTGTCTCAAAAAAGACCAAAAAACAAGAAAAGAGGTCAAATTGGGCTACATAGTCAGTTCAGGGCCAGCTTGAACTACTCAGCAAGACTCTCAAAAAACCTAAATGAAAAATAAAATAAAGAAACATGTTTACTATCTGTTTTTGGTGCTAAGAATCAGAACTACACCTTCTTTTGTGTGTGTGTGTGTGTGTGTGGTACCGTCAATCGAACTAAGGGCTTTGTACTTACCAGGCAGGCACTTATGCCGCTGAGCTATATCCCCGGCCCATGAAATTAGAGCTTCTTGAATGCTAGGCAAGCATACTACCACTGAACTACATTCCTAGTCCTTTTTCTCTTTCTCTGTCTCTCTCTTTTTTTTAAATGCCAGGGATTAAACCCAGGGTTTTCCACTGAGCTAATCCCCAACCCTTCTCCCTCCCTCCTTTCCTTCCTTCCTCTCTCTCTCTCTCTTTCTCTCTCTCTCTTTCTTTCTCCTTTCTCTTTTCTGAGACCAGTTCCTACCTTATAGTTTAGGCTGGCCTCAAACTCATTGCAATCCTCCTGCTTCAGCCTTCTGAGTGCTAGGATTACAGATGTGTACCACCATGCCTGGCTTTACTTTTTATTTTGATACAAGGTCTTGATAAACTACAAATTCCCTAGGAAGGAATGGAGCTCACTATCTTCCTGTCCCAGCCTCCCAAATAGCTAGGGTTACAAGTGTGCCCCACCAGGCCCAGCTCAAAACTCTCCTTATTCTTGCATCAGCCAGCATGTTCACTAGACCATGGCTCTGCAAAACAACGCATTTTTGAGATGCATCCTGTTTCAACCATGCAAAGGAGCCTGAATTTGGATGGTCAAAACCTAAAAAAAATCCCAGTGCCAGCAAGCTTGACAGAATCCCTCAACAAGCCATGTGCATCAGGCAGGCACTGTGCCGCTGAGCTATATCCCCAGCCCGCCATGTGCATCAGAATGCTGGGGCTCACAAGTCCAGTGCCAGGGCCTCATCCTTAAAGTAAGGTAGCCGAGTGAGTCCCAGAGAACTGGCAGGGGAATCCCATTGTGATGCACCGAAGTGTTTGAAACTCTGCCTTAAAGGAAAGTGTCTCTGCCCCTTCTTTCCTGCTTTATTCTCGCTGAGCTTTGTTTCTTGAGAGTCTCGGGTGAGAAACTCCTAAGCATGTGCTACAGGCACAGACTTGTGTCCCTGCGCCTGCAGTGAGATGAGGACAGGTAGGTGGGGCCCGGGAGGAGTGTGCCAACACAAATGTTGTCCCAGTGAGACCTGGGAATGTGTCAGCAGGCTTGCAGGGAGGGCTGTGCCTTCTACAGAAGGCACCTGGTTTCCTCTCTCCAAGCTGAGGAGTTTGAGGTCATGGGAGAGGGCAGAGGGCAGAGGTCAACAGTGAGGGTGGGGAAAGTCAAGGCAGCAAGAGAAAGAGCTGGACTGATGCTAAGGAGTCACTGGAACTCTGCTGGCCCCAAGAGACGTGGGATGAGAATTTGGGGAACCTGCGGAGGGAGTAGAAGGGGTGGAGGTGAGTTGACCTTGACCTTCTTCAGGGTCCGCTGAGCATAATGAGCAGAGGCCTTGTCATTTTCTATGATTTGAGCAGTCAGAAGCTGGGCAGCCAAGTCTTACGATCTATGCACTGTCTGCCCCTTGGATTGGGGCATCTGATCAACCCACAGAACATTCCGGTGTCAGTGCCGGAGGCAGTGCTTCCGCTCATACTTCGTTCCATCCACACTCCTAGGTCACACACTCACCACCGTGCTCCCCACCTCTGCAAAAACCAAAGTGACTGATCTCTACCTAGGCTGCCCAATTCAACTTCCCACCTCTCCCAAGCCATGGATGGTTTGGGTGCCTTTCTTTATGATCCCAAAAGTACCCACAACGCTTGCCCACATTGTATAACCCCAATGTCATGTGGCCATCTACCTCCCCAACGACAACTTGCGATGCTAACATAGGAACTGTCTGTCACAGCCAGGTCAGGCCTCTTACGCAGTGAATGGAAACTCACATACCTACAAGGATTGCTCCAGGGTGCCGGGG